CTTCCATCCAGAATCTCTATTCTTACTTAGCTAAGACCACTGGGGAAAGGAAGGGTGCTCTATCCCTTACAGGCACAAGAAGGAGTTATTGTCCTTTGCATCTGGAATCTATTTCACTAGTCACATCATTGTGAATGAACCATGTATAATCCAGAGAAATTTCACTCACTCTCTTCCAGCACCATCTGCCTACCCTCTCACTGAATCAAATCTACTGGTGAATAGAGACTTTCCCTAGCTGCCTCTGGTTAGCTGATAAATGGGACTTTGAAATGCATCTACGATTTTATACTACCCACTTAATTCTTAAAATATATAGAATAATAGAAGAACTTGGCTCCTGTTAGAAATAACTTGCAAATAGAATAAGAAAGTTACCCATTGTACAGACTAGAACCAGATATATCAAAGAATCTGAGAGATTTCTTAAGTTTTTTTTTTTTTTAACAAAGAGCAAGATTTCACAGATTTATTGAGGGACATGTATCAGGTAAGGAAGAATAAAGAAAATTTCATCTGAATCCAAAATGCTTTAGTTTTTCTAGATCCATATTTCATACCTCACACCAAAATAAAAGCACAAAAGTTTCAGAAGAAAATATATAAGGAAATAAGACTTGCACAAAGCCTAAGAGTTTTAACATCTACAATTAATAGCATTTTAAAAAAATATTTTTTAGTTGTAGATGGACACAATATCTTTATTTTATTTGTATGGATATATGGTGCTGAGGATTGAACCCAGAGCCTCACACGTGGAAGGAAAATGCTCTATCACTGAGCCACAACCCCAGTCCCATACAATTAATTGTATTTTTTAAAAGCTTCTTCATATTTGAAATATCAGCTGAGATAAAAGATAAATTACAAACTGGGAAATATTTGTAAATTATGTCACAGATAAAGGTGTAATACTTTAGTATATAAAAAGCACCTGTAAAATCAATAAGAAAAGACCAACAATCCAACAAAAGAGAAAGCCAGAAAAGAGTAACTATGGACTGAGTGACTGTTCATTGAGTCAATAATACAAATAGGGAGAAAACAGATGAACATGTTAGATGTAACTATCTCAGCTGTGGAGAAAAGAAACAGACACTTCTTCTTCATAGGCTTAACTTTAGCTTTAGAAAATCAATTTTAATATACAGATGACTTATAGAAATTTCCCATCCCAATCACATGTGAAAATGTCAGCTAAAAATTGAAGAGGTACAGTAACTTCCTATTTGGTGCAATTTCAGGTTTATCAATAGTCAGAAAAGTGCTTCCTATGCTGCCTTCTAATTCCTAAACTGCCCCCACTAGAGATCTGTTCATTGGCTTATATATCTCCCTACCAAAAAAAATAGACATGGGATAAATCTCCCTGGGACCTTCTAATTATAATTTGGTATAATTTAATAATAGCAATGTCATAACCTCGTACTGAGTTTTGCCATGTACAACATATTGTCACAGTGAGATCATTGAATCTTGTCAATAATTCTTAAAATAATATAAAGAATTATGATTCAGATTTTATAGATACTATTATGCTCGAATTCAGGACCCCCCAAAAGACCACCAGAGACCAAGATCGATGTAAGCAGCAAAGAAGTGTTTATTGTGAGCTAGCTCGGTCCTCCGCGTGCACACAGCAACTGGTGACACTGAGAGCCCCAGAGCCCAGGGTTTGCAGCAGTTTTATACAGTCTTTGGAGAGGGCAGGGACTTCACATACATCCTAGCATCTCTTAGCAAATCATCACACACCGCGGGAAAATCATAAAACAACTCTAAAACATGATTAGCACATTCACTGGCGGGAACAAGTTGGGTAGGGGTGATTGGCTAGTACAAGAGGGGGATTCGTTTGAACTGATTAGTTTAAGCCACGAGGGGAGTACGTGCTGAACTACATGGTTTCCCAACATGTTATCAACCACCATAAACTACTGGGAGGGTCATCTGGCATCCCAGGTATTTCCCTGTCTCATGCTGATTGGTGGTTAATACAGGGTTGCTATGGATCCTCACCTAGCCTGACTGAGTCAGGGACACCTGGCTCCCCAGATCTCTCCTGTTATTTGTAGATAAACAACTCTGCAGGGTGGGTATGTGCCTAGGAGTGCCCTGTGGGTCTTTCCAAGGACAAGGATCCCGCCCCCTTCCTTGGACAGGCTTTGCTCTAAGGTAGAGGCTGGTTTCTCAATACTTTTTCACCTGTGGAACAGATTCAGGTTTTCTGATTCCAAATTCTGAACATGTTCCTGAATCCCAGGCTTGTATGTAGGAGGGTATGTAAAGTCCTTTCTTGAGACCGCATTCTGGAAGGGGGCGTGGGGGGAGAGAATGAGGCCTGGTGCTTCTGAGTCAGGTAAGGAGAGAGAGAGAGACAGAGAGAGAGAGACAGAGAGAGAGAGAGAGAGAGAGAATAATAAAGTACTCAAGGAGTGGTCAGGGGCACCAAAGACACAGTAAACTTTACACAAGGATATTCAACAATAAGGTAATTCTAGGCACTTATCAGAATGGCCAAAATCTGAAACATTGACAGTCCCAAATGTTGGTGAGGATAAAGAATGGCAGAACCTCTCATTCACTGCTGGTGGGAACACAAACAGTACAGCCACTTTGGAAGACCATTTAGCACTTTCTTCTTAAAAAAAAAATAATAATATCCAGCAATTGTATTCCTTGGTATTTATCCAAAGGAGCTGAAAACTTACGTCCACACAAAATCCTTCACATGCACATTGACAGCAGCTTTATTTATAATTTCCAGAACTTGAGAGCAAAGCAAGATGTCCTTCAGTCTGGGGTGAATGGATGAATAAATCGTGATGCATTCAGACAAAGGCACATTGCTCAGGGCTCAAAGGAAATGAGCCATCAAGCTATTGAAGACCTGGAGAGACCTCAAATACCTATGACTCAGTGGAAGGAGCCAATCTGTAAAGGGTGCATACTGTCCTATTTCAACTATTCAGAGGGAGGAGTAAGACTACCAAGATAATTAAAGTTTGGGTCGTTGCCAGGGGTTGGGGAGGAGGGTGGGATGAATTAACAGAGCACATAGTATTTTTAGGGCAATGAAACTCCTCTATCTGATCATATAAAGGAGGATATGTATCTTTATGTGTTGGTCAAAACCCACAGAATGTACACCACCCAGAGTGAACCTTGATGTAAACTATGGAATCTGTGTGATAAGGATGTATCCATGTAGGCTCATCAGGTACAGCAAATGAGCCACACTATAATGGGGGAGGCGAGATCCTGTGAGAGGGCAGGACAGGAATATATGGGAATATGTAAACTTTATACTTTTCCTCCAATTTTGCTATAAACCTAAAACTGCTCTAAAAATTAAATCTATTCGTTAAAACACAATTTGCTGAACTGTAAATACACGTGATATTTCTTTTCTTTTGGGGCGGGTACTGGGGATTGAACTCAGGGGCACTCGGTCACATCCCCAGCCCTATTTTGTATTTTATTTAGAGACAGGGTCTCACTGAGTTGCTTAGCACCTAGATTTTGATGAGTCTGGCTTTAAACTAGCGATCCTCCTGCCTCAGCCTCCCAAGCCACTGGGATTACAGGCGTGCGCCACCACACTTGACTGCACATAGATATCTCTAACTTCTTCTAGGCGCTCAAGAATCTAAACACCTTAATGTTTCCCAAACAGAGATCACAGGAAATTTCTGAGCACCTACTGATTGTAAGTATTACTCATGTTCTCACCATTGTGGCCAAATTGTTCTTTACCCTGCCCTCTGAGTTTAAATATCAGTCACTGCATTTTTATTTCTGCAAATTCTCTCTAGCTCTCCTTCTTTATTCTTTTCTCATATTCTCACTTCCTTCTATTAGAACTTTGATGATTTTTTTTTTTTTTGGTATACAGTGGTCCCTCACTTATGCACAGTTTTGCTTTCTGCGGTTTCAGTTACCCCTAGTTGACTGTGGGCCTCAAATATTAAATGGAAATTTTCAGAAATAAACAGTCCAAAAGTTCTAAGTTGAATGCCATCCTGAGTAGTGTGATGTAATCTTGTGCTCTCTTACTCCATCCCTTTGTCCACAGGAGTCATGCTGTGTACACTATCCACCCACTAGTCACTTGATAGCTGTCTTAGTTATCAGATTGACTGTCACAGTAACACAGTGCTTTCATTCAAGCAGCTCTTGTTTTGCTTAATAATGGCCCCAACATGCATGACTAGTGCTGCTGGCAATTTGATATGCCAAAGAGAAGCTGTAAAAGGCTTCTCTAAAGTGAAAACATGAAAATGAAATGAGGTATTTTGAGAGACTACATTTACAAAACTTTTGATACCATAAGTTATTATTATTCTGCTTTATTATTAGCTATTGTTTCTCTCTTAGTGTGCCTAGTTTATAAATTAAACTTTATCATAGGTCTGTATGTATGTATAGGAAAGATAGATACAGATATAGATATAGATACAGATATAGATTTCAGTACTATCTGTGTTTTCAGGAATCCACTGTAAGTCTTAACTTCTCCCTGGCAGAAAAACAAAGACTAGTATACTCATTTCATGGTCTCCATTTTGGTTATTGAGTTCAACTCTAGCAGGGCTCTATCTGTGCAAATACCAAGTGACCTGAGTTAGGGTTCTACCCAGTATTTGCTTCTGGACTTGCCTGAAACAAGTGTTGTGTTCACTTTTTCTCTTAGGAGCATCTAAAGACCATGCAGGTAGTATAAATTAAGACCCCAAATCTGTGCAGAGAGTTTGTTATTACTGAATATAGCTCTGTATTCTCTCTTTATTTCTGAAATTCCTCCTCAGAACTCAGGAGGAGATACATGAATTTTTCTACATTGTCTCTGCCAGGAGGTGGGATTTTTTTTTCCCGTTTCTCAAAAGCTATGACCTTTTGCATGACTCAGGTTTTTTCAGTGGTCTCGGTTCCAACTCTCTGCCCCACAAAAGCCCAAGACTTCATCTGCTACCTCTACTTGAGTGTTAAAATCCAAATACCTTATTTAGCTCTCGGCTCCCTTGTTGACGAGTGCTGAGCTGTTTTCCTCCACCACATTCTTCTGCCTTGATGTTCTGCCTCACCGTAGGTCCAGGGCAATGGCGTTGGCTCTCTAGGAACTGAGATCTCCTGAAACTATGAGCCTCAAATAAACTTTTCCTGCTCCCCATTGTTCTGGTCAAAAAGGCTGACCAAAACAGAAACTGATATTGAGAAGTAGGGTCATTATGGTGACTACCCTGACCTTGTGGTTCAGAAGCTTTGGGAGATTTTTTTTGAATTTAAAGGAGAAATTTTGAAAAGCTCAGAGATGGAAGCTGGAAAACTTTAGAATGTTGTAAGTGGAACTTAATAGGTGATTCTAGGGGGGAGCTCCAAAGAACAGATTGAGAATGCCTGTACGACCGTGGACAGGAAAAACTATACTCATGAGGTTTCAGAGGAAAAGGACGCTTGAAAACTGGACCAGAAGCCACTCATGTGACGTTCTGGCAAAGAAGTTGCCTACATCTTGCCCATGTCCTGAGACTCTGTGAGGCTGAATTTAAAGGTGATGCATGAATTGAGAGAGGAAATTTCAAGGCAGCACAGGATTCAGGTGGTGGCATGGAAATTGCTGGAAGCTTTAGTCAAGTTTACTGTGATAATCAGGAGCAGAGATCAAAGTAGAAAGACACGAAATACTTGCAGTTTAGCCAGGAAACCGAGTAAAACTGGAGCTAAGGAAGTGAGGTTGAGACATTACGGCCCCTGAAGAAATGCTAAAGTACTTTACCCAGAAACAATAGGAATGAAGCCTTAGGGCATCTCAGGAATTAGTAAGATCACCCCCATCTCAAGTTCAAGGGTATAAAAGTAAAAATTCCCTTGAGAAGAGACCAACTGGGGGAGGCTGCTTGCCCAGGAGAGCACCAGAATTTGTCTCACCGTGCTCAGCTGCCCAGCACTCAGAGGCTACTGTAGCCACTGTCCCAGAAGACTTGGCTACTACTCCAGATGGCATCAACCATGTGGTGCTGCTTCTGCAGGACTGGGGGATGCTGGAGTTAGGGGAACATGGAGGCTTCCACAGAGATTTCAAAGGGAGGCTTGTAAGGCCAGGCAAAGCGCAGCAGAATCAGGGTGGGCAGCCCGCCCGACAGGGTGATGGGTGAAGATGTGGAAGGAAGTTCAAAGCTGCAGTGGAGACTCCCCAAATTCAGAAATGCCAGGACTGTGGAACATCTACTGAGGAAAACTGCAGGAATGAAGCAGAAATAAGCCAAGAGAGAAGCCACGTGGGTTAGGAAGGGTGGGGCTACGCAAGCCTTTAGAGAGAACTTCGCAATGCCCTGTGCCTCAGATGCTGGACATGCAACTCCAGGACTTGTTTGCTTGGTCTTTACTTTGGTCCCATCCATCTTCCTATGCCCCTATTTCTTCCTTGATGGAAACATTTACTCTGTGACTTTATATATTGGATTATGTAACTTGTTTTTGATTTTTAAAGGTGCATGCAGAGCTTACCATGAGTCTAAGAGGAGACTTTGGACTTGGACTATTGAGTAGTCCATGAGCCCCAAACAAACTTTTCCTCCTCTAAAAAAAAAAAAAAAAATCCCTTATTTAACAGAAATAATAAGCTATAGCATCTCAAGCTGGCTGTGCCATCATCCCTATTCTTCAGTTTCCTCTGATTTGGACTCCTGGGACTTCCCCCTTTAATTTCACTATTTCTTATGATAGTGTCTAATGGTTACAAATAAAAAGTAGGGGCTTGCTGGGCAAGGTGGCACATACCTGTAATCCCAGCAACTGGGAGGATGAAGCAGGAGGATCACAAGCTCAAGGCTAGCCTCATCAACTTAGAGAGACTTTCAGCAACTTAGTAAGAACTAATAATGGGGATGTTTCTCACTGGTAGAGCAACTCTGGGTTCAATTCCCAATACTGAAAAGAAAATTTGGGAACTAACATTTTCTGGAAATTGCTAGTGAACCTACACTGGTATAAATAAGTATCATGTGTTGTTGCTGAATCCATGGTAAATGTGCATTTTCATTTACCTTTATCAGTCTTTCTCCATACCATGAGAGAAGAGATGTAAAAATCAAAAATAAAATCTACTGATGAAAAAAAAGATACTGTTATATTCTATTCAGCATTTTTAGGTATCTCCTAGCTTTTAGACTACCACAATAGTAGAAAAGAAGCCACCAGACACGTTAGATACGTTATTCCTTTTAATCCTCACCCCAGACCTGCAAGCTAGATAATCATATTCCCATTTCACAAATGAGGAAATCAAGAATCTCGGAAGTTAAATAACTTTCTCAAGGTCACACAACTAATGTTCTCTGACCTCAAGGACCATTCCCTTCCCCTTATCTCATATCACCCCTCTGAAGAGACAACCTGCTTCTTCTATGGTTTCTACAAGGAGTCCAGAGCTTACAAAGAGTTTATACAGCAGAATACTTTCAGCGTTCTCCTTGAAGAACATTTTTTAAAAATATATATGTTTCTGGCAAGGTTCCATTACTAATTATGGAGGGTGAATGGTGAACCAAAGAATTATGAAGGCGAATGTGGCTTGACATCACCTTTGGGGAAGCCACCTAGAATCCTTGAATAGGCTTGTCTGAGCCATGCAAAGAATGGGCGGCAGACCGACCCGCCCTAGGCAGCTGGCCTCATTCTACCCAAGGTGAGGGAGTCAGCAGGAGGTCTAGAGGATTGGCTCTGCCTGGAATCTGCAGGATAAAATGGACACGGGAGAGGTTAATGTCCATGCTGAGGAATCATGAAACCAATAGCACTCGGTTAGAAACTGGCCCAAGGCCAAATACAAAATATAGCCATAATTGGAGCCTTCCCAAGTAGAAAAAGGTTATTAGTGGAATCACATTAATCACAATGATTAATGCTGAAACCTAGGCTTTTTATTATGTAAAAGGCTCAAAAGAGTATATTGATGGACAAGGGGGAGGGAGGAGAAGGTTACAATTTTGCAGAAATTAGGGAACCAAGAGGAACAGTAAATATTCAGGATATAATTTGAAAATCCAAAACCTGGATGTCACACATATCACGCTTAAAGCCGCTTATGCAAAGAAGTTTGCCAGAAAGCAAATGTGCCTACAGATGGCCCATCAAGAGGCAGTTGGGTGGCCCCTGCATGCTGCAAGGGCAGCCAGACCAAGGGACAGGACAGGGACAGGGGAGGCACACAGGAGCTGAGAGCAAAGCCCTCGCTGTCCATGGTCCTCCCAGAGTTCGAAGCCTGCCAAGGGCAGTGCCCAGGCAGTGCCATCTGGAAACTCCAGGGCCTTTAAAAATCTCCTATCTCAGACAAGTCAGGGCAGAGGGTTGGTGCTAACTGAATGTAAGTTGTGAATCTAAGGAGGAATTGCAAAATCTTGTGCTGAATCAAAGTAAAAGTACACAAGCAAAAAACCTTATCCCTGAATTCAAGTCAAGCTAGACGAAAGGCAGGTCAGTGATAAAAGAGATGCAGAGAAATGAAATGTAAAAAGGGAGTTGGCCCTGGAGAAAATCAGAAAGGGCTCAAGTGGCTTTTGTGGTCTGACGATTATTGTCACAGACTCAAAGTGATGGGTAGAGAAGAACCAAGAATATCTTTACTTATTCCTTGGCTTCCTAAACTGAGAACAGACCATGAAGTAATTATTCTCTGCCTTAGATTTGGTAGAAAGAAGAGAGGAAAATGATGTGTCTTTTTAAATTGATTTTGACATGTTTGTTTCCAAAAGGATCTGGAGTGCTACCACACTAGAGCATGGGCACAAGGCAGTAAAGATGCTTGGCAGAGACCAATCACTCTTCACCAGGCCTCCTCAGTCCATCACTCCTCCAGTGCGACCCCACTGAGGCACTGGGGCCGCTGACTCTCTGGACATTATGCATAGCCCTGAGGACCCAGAAAACTGTCTCAGGCCCAGCTTCGTGGACACTTCCTTCAACCAGCACCATGTTACCGGGCACCATGGTGAACCTGGAGCTTCTCTAAAGGTCTTGCAATTTTCTAAAGCTATGCCTGCACTAGCTTTCCCCCAAATCTCCCTGGATGCTGCTACCACCCCTTCATTCTCCTCTCCACCCCCAACTCTTTCTCTCCATACCAGATGGGATCCTTTCTTCCTATTCCCATCTGAAAGGAAGCACCTGTAAGGAAGGTCTCTCACATATATTGACACTCAGGGCTAGGGATGTAACTCAGAAATAGAGTACTTGTCTAGCATTTGTAAGGCCCTGGGTTCGACACTCAGCATGCAAGTAGATAGATGATAAGTTGATAGATAAAACAGACAG